GTATTGGTTTATTTACTCATGTAATTTTTCCATGTATTTATTTCTTCATTCATGTATTTATTCCCCCATCTTGTCCCAAAATGGATATCAGAAGGCTTATAAGAATATGCAAAATACAATGTAATAACATAAATTTGAAGTAGATAAGAAAGTAAAAGAAACAAAAAAGGTAGGAATATAAAATGGAGCCTGGAAGAAAGCTAATACAAAGTACATACCTATCATAGAGTCCCATTACAAGTACTATGCATGGGCCACACATTTGGCTCCAAGCTTTCCAGTAGCCAACAAAAGAGAAATCTGATCAGTCTCACACTTTGCAGGATACATAAAATGAATCAAACCACTTGTTTGGGAAGTCTTTTTCCTGATCTAAATTTTGAAAACTTTTCTTTAGTGAAGTATCATAAAATGGTGGTAGAATGTCTCTCCTAATTTTCTCTACAACCCTGATTCAGCTCCTTGAACAGTCTCCAACAAAGACAGATTCTCAATCTTTGAAATTGTTTCTACTACTTCTTACTTGTTTCTACCTGTCTCTTGAAGTTCCATTTGTTCAATGAAATGTAGCTATTAGAGATTTCTTAAAACAAACAAACTCCTCTGCTGTTACCAAAGCAATTATTGTCATTTAACTAATAAAATAGACATTGTGTCATTATTTATGACAAAAATTTGGAAAGGACTCCAAATGTCCAACAAAAGGAATTGGTTAAATAAATCATGATGCCATTGTTGCCACTATATGATAAAATAGTCAATACCATCAAAAATGATATTTATGAAAACATTTTATAAAATGGAGAAATATTCATGATAAAAATGTTAAGTATGGCTCCATGCTCTGAGGATATAAAACTGCATATATTATGATCTTAACTATGTAAAAATGTGTCTATTTATAGCTATAAAAACGTCTGGAAAGAAATCCACCAAAATGTTAACATTGTTTATGAGATTTGTGAATATGGCTGATTTTCATCTTTTTCTATATTCTTGTCTTTATTTTCCAAGTTTTTTTATATTGATGAATAATTTTTCTATGATGAGAAGAAGGAAATCTAGGAGGAAAAAATACTAACCCAGCTAGTTATCTTTGGCTTGTGTAATTATGGGAAATTTTAATTTTCTTTTTCAATTTTGTATAATTGACATATAAATTCTAGATAGAGACAAAGTTACTTAAAGAAATAAGAGTTCTAAAATCTAGTTTTTTGGTTGTTTCTTTGTAAGGTCCAGAATGATACAAATTTAATAACACCTTACAATTATCAAGCACTTTAAAATTTATTTTTAATAGCATTTTAATATTTAGAATTACATTTGATTACCAAAAATGTCTTGTGCAGTAGGCTACATAGTACTATCCTCATTTAACAGGTGATAAAACTGAAGTTCAGAGAAATTAAGTGACTAGCCCAAAGTCACAATCAGTAGCAGACCTGGACTCGAACCCACATCTCGAGAACTCATGTCTAGTGCTCTTTCCATTCTTCAATAATGATTATAGTGTAACCCAAGCAGTCACCAAAAGGCAGAAGCACAGAAACAGCAACCTCTCTTTACCTATGAGGGTCAGATTCCTAAATGACCCCCAAGGTAAAAACCAATGTCACCATAATAAATAAATAAATAAATTAATTAATAAATTAATTAATTAATAAATACGTGTGCATAATTTGCATAGTAAAACAAAACAATAACAATGATATATTATGGGAAAAGAATTAGAGTTTACAAAGCTTAAATTAGTAAAAATGATAGGCTCTACATAGTTTCCATTTGTATCCTGAGATGATTTCCAGAGGTGTTAACATTCTTTATGGCAGTGGAAAATAGGGATGACAGTGAAGCAATGAACAGAGGTGGACTGTTTGCTCAAATTATGGCTCTCCATGCTCTCGGAGTCATCTAAATCCAATCCTGTAATCGTAGCAACTAGCTTTTGGCTTTATCACTATCAAGAAAGTGAAATTAAGTTGTATGACTTAATGACTTTGGCTCTTTTTGTCTTCTCAAGTCTTTTTTGAAGACACTTTAGCACTTCTGCATAGAATTCAAATTAAATAATTCGAGCTTTGTCTGAAGGCAGATTTTCAGCTGTCTAGCACAGGTCACTACCCTTCTGAGGTTGCTTTCTTCCCAATATGGTATAAAAAGACTCCTAGCACCTCTTTAATAGAGTTCAATGAAACCATTCAAGCTTTGTCAGAAGGCAGTTTATCAGCTGTCCAGAAATGGTATTAAATGGCACTATTTGATGATTTTTTAAAAATTAATATTTTATGGCGACATTAGTTAACGAAATCCAATGTTTCATCTGTACACTTTAACAGTAAAGCATATATATATTTACACTGTGTGTTTACCGCCCATAGTTAGATTTCTTTCTGTCACCAGATATTTGACCCCCTTTGCCCTGTCTACCTCCTCCATCCCCCCACCCCCTATCCTCTGGTAACCATTAATCTATAGTCCATGTCCATGAGTCTCTGCTTGTTTGCCTGTTCCTTTGTTGCTTTTAGGTTTCTATGCCACATACAAGTGATATCGTGTGATTTTCAACTTTTTCTGTCTGTCTTATTTTGCTTAGCTTGATTATCTCGAGGTTCATCCATGTTGTCGCAAATGGATGATTTAAGTTCTGCTGAAGATTGTTTCTGTCCAATGTAATATTTTTGAAGGCATCGTAGCATCTCTTTATAGAACTCTGCTATATCTCACAAGCTTTGAAGAGGTAAAGTTTGACATGTAAAGGGATCAATTTTCTTTACTTTCTTGAGGAGGTTTTAATCGTGTTCTAAAATATTTGCTCCCGCTGTTTCAGTTCCATAGCTTCCTAATTATTTTCATTATCAATTATGATAATCACCTCTGGGGTACTAGAAGTTTTCTGAGAATCATATTCTAGCAGCATCACATCACTTGGATTAGTGTCAACAAGTTAAGACTGAACTTCAGCCAATGATTGCTCCTGCACCAAATGTTCATCAACACTCATAGATTCTCCTTGATCCAAGGATTTTTTTTTTTTGGTCTTCAAGAAGGATTGCTGAAAGATATTTTACCATATCTAGCCAAGTCTTCTCTCAGGTCACATTAATGACAGGCTCTGCTACACTATCTAATGGCTCTTTTATTAAGACTACAGCATTAGTTATAGCATAGGAATCTTATTAGCATCTTCAGCAGAGGAACCTTTGTGAGATTTTAAACAATAAAGTTAATAATTTGGCATAAGTCTTCCTGAATGACTTAGATCAAACACTGATCTAAGGGACTGAGGATCTGAGACATGAGACTAGTTATAAAGACAACCTTAACATTAGAATGTACATTAGCAAATGCATCTGAGGTGCCAACAGGACTGTGAAGAATCAGCAAGACTTTGAATTCAATTTTTTTTTCATTTAAATAGCCTTGAATTTCCACAAGAAAGCACTATTTAAACCATTCTTTAAGCAGAGAAGGAATCATCCAGGTTTTTCTGTTTGCATGCAAGTATACCAGAAACTTGGCTTTTTTTTGCCTTTGAGAAGCTTTTAGCATAGTTTTCTGTAAAGTAGTAATGGTTTCACTATGAAGTCACCTGAAATATTGGCACAAAACAGAAATAGCTTCTCTGTTTTTGCTGATCTCATGTTAGCATCAGTTGACTCTTGCTCTTCAAAAGAGCAAGTAAGATTGTTCAAGAAATGAACAAAGCATGATGGTCTCAACAACACTGAAGATTTGTCAGGCACATAATCCTCTTCTTTAGTCCATTTCTGTAGTTGTAGTGGATACAACACAGAAGTTGCAGGGTCTAGTATTTCTTTCTTCAGCACCACCGTCACATAAGATTTGGTCTCCAGATCACGGTACACTGTAAGTCTCTCAAACCTTCCCTTGTTCCTGGCAAAAAAAATTGTCAGTGTCTGAAAATATGTCTTGAAAAATTCCTCTTTCATGGTCACAGATCCCTTACATGGAAAATGTTTTGTTATTCTTTTTCTTATCTTTTATTCAGATGTTTAACATCATTTCTATCTTTTCCATCCTTAGGTCATGAGGGATAAAGCATCTTTTAAGTGATGTCAGTGTACAAGAGACAATAATAAGAGTTTCACATTTCTTTATGGTAGAAATTGTGGATTCATTAATACCATTTAAGCAACATACAAAGCTATTTGGTTTACCTTGAAGAAGCAGATCAGGAATGTCCCTTTTTCTTTTCTAAAATCATCACCCTTCTTTTCCTTTTAGC